ACTCACCAAGCGTCTCTCACCTAACGGAGTGCTGCTCTACGCTGCGAGGGTCCCGCTCCGACGTTACAGGACACCAGGGGAAAGTCGCACAGCTAACCAGGCGAAACATGCACTTTGGTCTTTGTTCGACTAATTCAACCCAGGCGGACGATTTATGACATAAACTATGTTACAACTTTCAACAGACTGTTTATGGACGAAGGATTTCCCAGAGTGCCGCTTGGATGTGGCAGCATCATCATTCTTCTTGCTGCCCGCTGAGGCTGGATGATGGAAACGTCCACGGCTCCTGTGAACGATGTCTGCACGTCGGAGCAGGAAACACTGACGTCTGTTAGCTGCTCACAGTGCTGAAGCTCCTCAGCTCACCTGTACTGGGTTCTCACCAGTTTAGCACCAGTTTGAGAACTACAGGATAATCTCCCCTGTGGGTTTGTTGGTAGAGACTCATGCAGAACATGTGCAGACCTGCGCATCCTTGTTGCACCGCTGTGCCATGTTCGACACGTCGCCAAAATCATCTCCAGAGACGATTATTAGGCAAGCGAGCCTCTTGATCATACCATCAGTCATCTGCATATGTCCCAACTCCAAGCTGTAAACACTTCAGTGCTTATTCAAGTGTTTACTCTGATTTTGTGGCAACTCAGCTTTTCTCTGAAACACAAAGAAACTGCGTTTTGTAACAAAGTCACATCTGCCCGTCGCAGCTGCTCGCGTGTGGTTTCGTGGTGGAGGTGAGAGCAGGAAGTCATCAGAGCACAAACGGTTAGCACGGTGGAAGCTCCGAGTGAGGCGGCACACAGGGAGCCAGTCATGAGGTCGACCGCAGAGCGGTTTTTCACTTCCACATGAATCAGGTTCAAACCGCCGTCGCGTTCTGTCTGACTCGGCTCGATCTCATCGTCACACATCCAACAACAGAACGTCAGCCTGATGCTGAGCTGCAGACGTCTGTTAGGACGGCCTCTTTCAGACCTGTCACATGATTGTTATCCGGTCTTTAAGTGATGACGTGACGAATCCTACTTCCGGGCCTAAAGTAGTCTGCGTTTAATATGGCTTTTGTGTTGTTAACATGTTTAATGTTTTGTATTTTCTTCTATTTGATCTCAAAAAGCTCCTAAAACAGTCAGTGATCACTGTTGACCTCCCTCGGCTTTTATTACCGCTAATCATTTATTTAAGCTCAGTTTTTAAAACCTTAGGATGTAACTACAGCCCAGCCCATGCAGCAGTATATGAATGACTAACCTCGTATTGTGGATGGATTATCTCAGTTGTTCTCCTGGCTGAAGTTTGGTCCTTTTACAGCATCCTGCCATGCGATTACATTTGTTCCTGACCACCGAGAACACTCACGTTAACTTTTATCGAGTGGAAAAAAAGTTAGCTTGTTTATATTATGCTAACATAGCTGTGTCGCTAGCGGTCACGTAGCACATCATTATATACCAGCTAGCCCAACTTCAGTAACCCTACAAACGTCACTGCTGTTTAGTTTTCTGTCTTCATTTATGCTGGAAGTGATAGCAGAGCTGTACGTTTGAATTTGTTTCCAAAACCCCGCAGTCAGGACATGCTATATTGTATTTAGATAGAAGCTAGCGAGCTAACTCCCTGCTAACTTCTAACTCCGTTAAATGTCATAAATTCCGTTTTCATGGATGCCTGGATGTTAAACTCAATTGTTACACCTGGTAGAGCAGAACGCTGATCATTTTATTAAAGATGAAAGACTTTAGACAGTTTTTCAACTGGAGGCGTGGCGCGGTGCCCCTCCTTTTGGTCGTCCTCCTCGGTCCTGCGTACTCTGGGGCCTCTGGATGTCTGGGTCCTGGATCTCCTCCATACCTGCTTCATACCCTGGAGGACGGGGCTGTGGCTCCCCACACTCCCTAGCAGATCGTTACATGGAGAAACCTTTGGAATGCAAGCATGCTGATCCACACAGGTATGCACACAGGTGTACACACGGGTATTCACAGACGCGGACTACAGCTTTCTTGGCTGCTGCCTCAAAGCACATTGTGCGCTGTCTATCTTGCGTGCTGCACAATATCGTTTATTATTTAGTATCTACTGATATCTACTGCTAGCTAGTTTATTGTGATGGTGCTGTTTTTTTTATTATGTTGCTCTTTGTTGTTTGCTTTCTCTTCTGTTTTTTTTCTCCATACAGGTGACCCAGGTGTTTTTTTTTTTTCTTTCTTCCCCCCTTCTCACCGTCTCTTCTCCCCTTTGGTTTTCTTTCTCTCCCTCTCTTTCTTTCATTCTTTCTCCCTGTCCTATCCCCCAGTCATGTCTGTCCCGTTTGTAGCAACTGAAAATAAAATAAATTCATAATTATAATAAAGGTCAATCAAATGGACCAATATGGCAAGGCCATGATGATCCACTTGGTAAAATAAATCCGCTTGGCATCTTTCTTGGCCTTAAGACAACAATTCTGATGGCTAAAACAAACACACAAAAAACAAAAAAGAAAAAATAACTCCGTAATTCATAAATTCCGTTTTCATGGATGCCTGGATGTTAAACTCAGTTGTTACACCTGGTAGAGCAGAACGCTGATCATTTTATTAAAGATGAAAGACTTTAGACAGTTTTTCAACTCTCAGTGATCCTGCCGGGATCGTTTGATTTATGGACCTGCAGCGGAGTTTGAGCCCAGACACGACTGGTGACGTCAGACTTAACGACCAGATTGTGATTCTCAGAGTTAAGAGGAAGTTCTGGATGTTGTGCACGATTAATGGACCGTAAAATGTTTCATTTCTCTTTCATCTTCTTGATTTATTTATTTTTAATGTTTGAAACATTCAGAGTGATTCATTGTTAAGTTATTTCAAACAAGCGTCCTCTCGTCTCCACGCCGACCTGCTGAGCGTGGGCGAGCGCAGTTTCTGAAGGCCGTCCAGGTTCAGACGCCGTACACGGGCCTCCATCAGTACTGATGGATTATTGATTATTTATTTAGTCCTTTTAACTGGAGATATGAAATGAGTTCCAAACTTGCACCAGTGCAGACGAAGAAAAGCTCGTTCCTTCTCGTTGTCGTCTCGAAACTTTGGAGGAAACTGTATTTCCGGGCTGCTCCTGGTTTCCTCTATGAGCGTCTTCTTCCTGCTCCTCTTCCTTACTTTGGGTTTCTTGCTTGTTTCGTTCGTCGCCTCTGTTTCAGCCTGTGATGTCCTGGCTGTCAGACAGACTCTTCGCCCTGCTAATGAGCCGTTCCCTCTGCTGTCATTATGACTTCACCTCCTCTCAGACTTAAATGGCTTCTTTCCTCATTTCTTCCTCCAACTTTCCCCTGAGGGAGCGACCTGCTCTGTTTCCACTAAACTTAAACTAAGTTAAACATCAGGAGCATCGAATCCGTCAATCAAACAACAGGATATGAAACATGTGCAGCAGCGGGAAACCCTCAGCGTCCGCCTGTTTCCTCACGTTAGGATTAAAGTGTGACAGCAGCAGCTCCCTCTGAGGAGAGACGCTCGCCACAGCGCTAAACTCTGTCTCCGCCCACTTTAACCACAGACTGCTTCATCAGCATGAAGAGCCTCAGCTTCTGAGCAGCTGATCAACAGTTTTTAACTTTATTTGTCATAATTAATAACCTTCAGTTACTGTGGTTTGGACTCATTAAGGTCAGACTGCTCTAAGTACAGTTTCATATGTATGATGTCACTGAATGGGTGTGGCATACGGGCATCTCCACCCCCACCTGCTGCTTGTAGGTGAAAGCCAGTCAGAAAAGGGTGACATTAGAATATGTGGAGCAGGTCAGGCGGTTCACTGTGTTCAGCATCTTCAGGTCAGATAAAACTCATTTCTCCACATTGTCACGATTTCTCTTTGATGAGTGCTTGTTGGAAGTTTGCTCCGACAGGAAACAGGCCTGAGCTTTACACTGCTGCTCACAGAGCCCAGCTTTGCACAGCAGGTCACAGAAATGAAGACGTGCACGAGCAGCGGCGACGCTGTCATTCATGAGTGCGACAAACCGTCAGGCATGACTGCGATGAGCAGGGTCAGGGGGTTGCAGGGGAAGCTTGAGTGGATTTAACCCCAGCAACACACGGTGAGTGATGCTTTAATGGGAATCGGAGCTCTGTGAACGCCCTGTTGTGTGAATGTTGCACATGTCTGGATCCCTGCAGCCAAGAGATTCTAACTCACGAGGTGTTCACACATCACTTCCTGTTTGGCAGCACATCTGGACAAAGAGCTGCAGTTTTTAGACTGAGCTGTGGTGGGACAGCAGCACTCAGAGCTCCACAGTCTCTGCAGGACTTTCCACTTTTCTTACTTTCATGTGTATAAAATTCACCAATTACGTTCTAACAAATATGGATCAGGTGGACAGAAACTCTGGACTCTATAACAGCGAACTCGATGCTCAGGCTGAGCTTTGACACAAACCAGAGTCGTTTGGGTCATTAGTGGGTCAGAAAGTGCCAGAAACCTCCATGGAAACCAAATAAATCAGTGACCCGCACCGGCTGTTTCCTCAGACTCGATCTGTCACAGTTATTGACGGGACAATCAAGACGTGGGCGTCAGCTTCAATCGCTCTTTTCCCACTTTTACAAGCTCCAGCTCTGGTTGCTGGCTTGGCTCGGCCCGCCGCACATGTGGTACAATTAGCCTTCGCTTCATCGCGCATGTGTTCCTGGTTTCTGTGGTATTTCAGTCATTTCTGAGCTCCCACGGGAACCGCAAAAGCACCGCCGACCAGCCGCGGGGGCAAACCGAAGACTTCTGAGGTCTGCAGTTAAAGGTGGCAGTAAAGACGGTGAGCTCTGTGAAGCACACGAGGGAGCACACAACACTGCATGTGTACGAGCATTACAGGTGCTTTAGCTACACAGAACAATCAAATATCAATACTCAGGTAAATGAACCGTTTTAGTTTGTTTGCAATTTAGAATTAGGATCATTCATTTGTAATAATTGTAGTTATACAATAATGAGTTTGGTATTATGTTTCAAACTGTCAAATTTACATCATCTCAGTGTGAAGCTGCATCAGCTGACTGATCTTCTTCTTCTGTAGCTTAAAATCAAGTTTGACTCGTTCCTGTATGAGGATGTATGAAGGTAAATATCTGCGTGGTTTCATTAGAAGCCTGGAAGTATTGTCCCCAGCATCAAATCTTATTTTGAAGGAATCACTGGGAAGTTGCTGACCTCTGCTAAACTTGTGTCGGTAGAACTGTGAGGTTTTCAGACTCTTTGTGATCTGAGCAGGATTTAAAATTCAGACGAGGTCGCAGCCTGAGCGCACCACGCTGTGAGACTGCACTGCTGCTCTCTTCATGCACAAAGTGCAAATATTGCTGCAAAATCCTCAAACAAAAGCACGCCAGGAAGTCACGGAGCACCATGGTAATACAAAGCTCGTGGTGAGAGGGTGGAGGTCATCGGGTCATGAAGCTGGTGATAAATTTGGACCATAAAGCCCTGAGTGTGCCTTCAGGTGTCGTCTCACACCACACGTCTAAACTAAAGGCAGCTTCAAAACTGAGTCACTCCCCAAAGACACTCACATCGCTAAGGTCTGCAGTTAGGGGCGTGGGCAGGTGGCTGCAGGTGTGCAGTCCGGCTCAGGTTGGACGTGACCTACCAACAAGGCTTGCAAACATCATCCAAACACATTCTTGCAGCAATAAAACAGCACGAGGGACTAAAAATGTCTCCCAGTCCCAGGAGTCCTTCCTCCATCTTTACTTACAGTCTATGCTTTGAATCAGCACAGAGTGTAACTTTGTCCAAACCTGCAGTCACACATGAATGAAAACTGTCACGCACCTATTTTACATCCTCTCTGAGCAACACGAGCGCCTGCAGCCATGCGCCTGTGTGGAGTCAGCTGGGTCCTTCAGCGCCCGCTAACCAGCAGAGCGTCCTGCAGCGGGGGACGCAGACCCCTCTGAAACACATGAGCCCCTGAAAACATCTAAAAATCAGATGTTTTCCATCTCCAGCCCTCCGCCCAGCGGGGACCTGTAAAGCCCACAGAATTACATCAGAGGGAAACAGAGGAGGAAGAGAGGAGAGAGGGAGGAAAAATTCTTCAAGTATGAGAAAATTTTACTGCACTCCTCCTCCCCTCCTCTCTCTCTCCGTCCATCACCCTCCTCGTCCTCCTCCTGCCGGTCAGTCAGCGAGAGAGCCGGACTGAGACGAGACTTCAGCACCGCTGAGGGAAACTCCTCACCTCTGAGCAGGTAGGATGCTGCTGCAGGAACAAACTGCTGGGTTTACACCTGAGAGCGAGGTTCATAAACATTTAATATGAATGTAACGCAGAGCAGATTTCATTTGAAACTTCATCATTTAAACAGCAGAACTGTGCAGCCATGATTGCTGCTTTTCTTTATTCGAGGGCGAGGGTGAAACGAGCAGCTGCTGTTTTACATTCAGTGCCGACGATGTTTCAAAAGGTTTTAGCTTCATGTTTCATTTATTTTAAATTGCTTAGATGTTTATCTCTTTATTTTTTATGAGCTTTGCAAGAACACGAGTTTCATACTTTGGTCATTTTTATGACTTTTACAAATAAACTGAAAAGATTTCTTTTTATTTGTTGGTTGAAAAAAGATTTAATTGTTGGACTTTTGAACTTTTGTCTGTTTTCTGTCAGTTTAACGACCAAATTAATTTGATCTCATCAGCTGTAGCTTCACAGGGGAGGATTTGTGGGTTTTGGTGATAATAATTGGCAGCAAATGGAATAGATTCATGTTTTTCAGACATTCATTCATGTAAAAAATAAATCATAATTTCTTTTACATGATCCAACGATGTGAAACGTGCCGGCTGCTGCAGAGCTGTGACGGAAATCATAAAGCAAATATCCAAATCAGGATTTGACAGAGAACCAGGCAGTAATGATGCAGAAATACAGACAAAGTAAAATGTTTTCAGTTTTATGTATAAAGCCAAAGATCAGAGAGACTCGTGCATGTGATAACGCATCCTGCAGCAGAATCGATGCAGGCTTATGTTTGGACGTCGTCTCTGTGACACTGAAGTCTCCGTCCTCTGTGATGGACTGAATCAAATAACTGCTTTGATTAAAAAAAAAAAATCTGCTATTTCACTCATCAGCAAGTCAATCAGCAACCTGCAGGACTAAAAACTTACAGCAGTTCATGACTGCCAATAACTGCAGTTCCTCTAATGTCCACTAGAGGCCACATGTTAGAACATCTGACTTCACAGCAGAATCAAACATTTACAGGTTTACAAGCTGCTAAACAGCTACTTTCCCCCCTTCATGGTAACTGTGTACTGCTGCTAGCTTCATCTCTGAACTGCTTCTTTTTAATGCACTTATCTGACCAATAGCATGGCTGCTGTGAGGGTACACACACAGTCCTTCCTAACATTTCATCACTTTGTTACTTTGCAAACATTAGCAGGAATCTCTGCACCCACTTTATGGAAGCAGCTTGCTAACTGGGCTAGCTAGAATTAGCATTTACCTTAGCGCGCCGCCCTGTTGTCCATATATGCTAACCGGGTTGCAAAAACACTGAGCCCTCAAAACACAGAATCCAGAAACCAGTGGCTGATGTCACAGTAACAACTTCCATTTTTTATATACAGTCTGTGTTGTTGCACCCACAGCTGCCAGATTTCCTCACTGGACTCTTGCTGCTGTGATCCTCTGTGGTCTCGGGGAAGCTTTTGGCCAAAGCATGTAAATGTGCTTCCTGATGTTCCTGATCTTTCATCATTCTGTTAGCACAAATGTTAAAGTTTCACAAAGTCAAACCCGTTTCCTGTTTCTGAGACCTGAGATCGCTCATGTATGTCTGAAGGTTGTGACTGTGTTACTCGATATTAACTAGGTAATAGTAGTTTCTGGAGTTGCACCCCTGCTTGCTGGTTTGAAGCCAGAAGAACATTTATAGGGTTTATAAGATCTCCTCCTCCTGGTCATTACAGTTCTATCAAATGATTAACCTGAGTGTGGGCGTGGAGCGACAGGTTTGTCACATAGTCTGGAAGCAGTGAGGGAACAGCCTCCAGCAGCACTGAGAGTAAAGGTGAAGAGCACATGAGAAGCCTTCATGGTGTATTTTGAGAATTTGTATTGCCCTCTTGAGGTTCTCCCGTAGCAGCTGGAACAGCTGTCACAGGCAGCTATTTACAAGGTAATCGTTCTCACTTAGACCCACTGAGCAGAAACTGGCCGAGGTCCAGACGGAGATCTAAATCAAACCGCACATGCAGAAGCCTCTGTGTGTCGGTCGAGTTAGCAGCAGAGAAACATGTGGACAGACGGAGAGGAAAGGTTCAGGGTTCAGGGTTCAGATCCAGAGCTGAGCTGAAGCAGAGACATGATGGACGAGTCCTGAGGACACCTGCATCAAAAGTTAAATTATTCTCATAGGAGGCTTTAAAACAGCCAAAGACAAATAACAGATAGAAGTCAGGCTGGTGCACGCTGAAGCTGAAGAGGCATCAGGATCCACTCATCACAGCTTCACTGCAGACATGCTTGTTTCACTCCAGTGGACTTGGTCATAAAAATACTGAGAGGACACACGAGTGGTTACTGAGGCCGACAGACCATTCACAGAGCTACTTGTTGCTCATAAATATGCTAACAATGTAAAGTAAAAGTCATGTAACCAGGAGGAGTTTGCAGTGTTTCCTCCTGCACATGAACAGGATTTAAGGTGTAAGTATCTAAAGAAGTCTTACAAACATTCACAGAGCTTCAATTTTGCCTCTTTCTTAAGTAAAGAAACTCTAAACTGGGATCTGTTTCCTCAGATGCTCCACACATAATCGGCTGTTTGGGGCCAAATTGCACTTGAAGTAATATTCGGCGTTGCCAGGCCCCGGCCTGATCCGCAAGTCAGAAAATCGGCTGCAGGATAACAAGCTACTCTTTCAGACCAAGTTACTTTTTCCATCGGGTTTTTATTGGCCGCCATGCTCCGCTGACGGGCCCATAAACAGCTAATGGCCCCCTATTCCTGCTAATTGTGTCCAAAGTGGAGTCTGCTGCGCTAACATGAAATTTAAGGTGAGCTTAAATGTGTAATTCTGTGTCTCTTCCAGTGGGAAAACCCATGGAGAGCAAAGGCGAGAGGAAAAAATCCATCACCTCTGTGACTGAAGCGAAGTGAGAGCAGGTCCAGATCTGCAGACTCTTTCCAACTGAGTCCTGGAAGCAACCGGCTCCGCTGTTACCGGCAAACGTCCGTCAGCATCGATTTCCCGAGCGGTCCGGCATCTTTCTCCTCAAACACCCAGGGAAGTCTTCTCCTGGTGCCACCCTGGCGATGCTTCCTTTCATCCCCTGCCTCCTCCTCTTCCTCCTCCTGGCCGGCCCAGCCCTCCTGACCCCGTCGACCTCCAAAGAGCTACAGTTAAGGGGTCAACGGACACCAAGGGACACCAAGCAGGACTCCTTCAAGGTGATTAAGGGGTTAGCTGAGATAAATGGGCCGACTCGTGGTAGTTCAGTGGTCATCTGGGTTAAACGAGGGTCAGTGTGGTTAAAAGGTTCGGGGATTTCTTCTTTATCTGCTTTCATTTGATGGCCCCTGTAACGCCTGATTCCTCAATCACAGGAGTTTTAAGTTTTCATATCTGTCTGCAGATGATTCCTTATTGCAGGAAGAAGCCAGTGAAGGCCAGTAATGAACATACAGGCATCTCATTGTTAGGACGTTTGAATCCAGAAATCTGCTCAGGAGATGATGCAAAAGCCAACTGCACAGTCAGAGTTCAGTTCCAAGCCGTCTGCCGTCCAAGCAAAGAATAAATTGCAGAGACCTATCATCAACAAACTCTCGATGTGTTTTAACTGATGACTGACGTCTTTGCTGCTCTGCGCTCCAGCACATTTTAATGTTGGAAAAAGCAGAAAGTTAAAGCCATGAGCCTCCTGCGCCTTCTGTAATATATCTACCCCGGCATCGCCGGACTAATGTGCAAATGTGAATTTGTCTGGAACCTTTTTGTTGAGCTCCAGTTTCCAGCGGGCACAGAGCAAACTCAACTAGATAGACGAACAGCCAATCAGAGGAGCTGCGATGAAGGATAATGCTAATGGACTCTTTCAGAAATGACACTATGTGCTCCAGAGCAGCAGCGATTATTTCACCCCGAGCTCAGTAACATGAAAAAAGGTGGCGCAGATGTGCTGCAAGAAATCCACAGTCCAAAAACCTGACAAAGTCCAAACACAGTCAGGAAGACGACTCAAAGGTTTAGACTCAAACACACTGATGGGAAGATGGACAATACGACACAGGAGGACTCAACCAGGACAACAGGAACGTAGAAACATGAGAAGCCATATGTGGAACCAACCAGCAGAACACAGCATTGAGAACATGAAAACTTAACATGAAACAAAGTGCAATGATTGGTGTTTTCTGCTGTTGCAGGTGGTCATCTCAGAGGGCTGTGCCACTCAGGGTGATGCATCTGATGGGAGTACAGGAGGTAAAGAGTCTGACCTGAAACAAGAACATCCAGAAACTGTAGTTTTTCACAGCAGTGGGGGGTGTTGTAGCTCAGCTCCTACTGCAGAATATAATCACAACCAAATGTCCTCGTTTGCAGGTAAAGAAATTGACCTGGTGCCTGGTTCTCCTCTGGTTCTGACCCATAAGATCAAACTGGTTCCCTCAGATTCGGCATCTGGGTCTGGACCTTGTGGATGCGACGCCGACTTTGCTCCGCTGCGAGAGCGGCTGGAGAGGCTGGAGAGGGAGGTGTCAGCCCTCCGGGAGACGTGTGGAGGGGCTGAAGGAAACTGCTGCAGCTCAAACGAAAGCAAAGGTAAAACTGGATATTTCTATTAGATCGACCACGTTTCTTACCTTCAATATTTATCTGTAGAGCAGAAGGACGCGACTATCAGCGTTAAAGAGGGCACACTTTTATGTCAACAGCACTCTTACAGAGCGCTAACAAGCCTCCGTTACAGAGTTCCCTCAGAAGGTGGAGGAGACCAAAGAAGGAGATAAAAACCTGGTTCAGTGGGTGGAGACAAACTCTCTGTAACGGCTGCATGTTTAACAAGCTGACAGATCAACTTAAAAGGTGGTGAAAGATCAACATGTGACTCATCTGTTGTAAAGTTAGACTTATTTTATATCCACCAAATCACAATAACAGTCACTGGCAGGCACTTTATTTAGGCCAAAGATGTACAGTAATACAGGAAATATCCAACAATCATATGATCCCCTGTTAGCATGCACTTGGCAACAGTGGGAAGGAAAAACTCACTTTTAACAGGAAAACTCCATCAGAACCAGGCTGAGGGAGGGACGATCATTTGTTCTCCAGATCATCCATCAGTGTGTGAATGTTGGACACAAAGCATAGAAACACGGCTTTAACCCTTTAAGACCGACCATAGAACCAAGTCCGCCAGAGCTTATATTATATTTTCACATGCTGTGGAGCCATTTTTGGGAGCATTTCAAGTTGCTATACATCAATACAACCATTATAGCCCAGATTTTAATGATATGTCTGCATTAAGTGCATAGTAATTACATAAATTACAAAAAAAATTGAAAATCGTTTTTGCTTTAAATTACATGTAAGTACAACTCCTCCGGTTTCATATGCAAAAAAATTATTGCGCTAGCTTACGTGGTTGCAGTGTTACCGTGATTTAAAAATAGTTATGCAAAACAGAGCGTGCCGCTCCGACCGGCTTTAAAGGGTTAATGGGTGAATGTTGTATAAAGAGCTTGGCGTGAGTAGAAGAAGTCACCTGATGGAGCCCTACGATAAGCTTTCACAGCTTTATGAACTCTCACTCAGCACTTTTCCCTTCTTAGATCCCTGAAGCCAGTGAGGAGCCGATCTGATGCTTCATGGACGTTTATAATTTTAGCATCTTCATTTTAAATATTCTTAAAGTTCATCACATGCCGAAGCTTTAATGACCGGCTGCATTTCTGTCATTGTCATATAGAAAAGCCACATTTTCATGTCACGTCTAAACACTAAGCGAAACGTGAAAAGTTTTTCATTCACGTGCAAAAAAATAAAAATTCAAACTAAATTTGAGACAGTGATCAAAATCATTCGTCATGCATGAACGAATTCTTTATACCAGGCTGGAAAAAATGATGTTTTTTCATACCAGAGGACTCAAAAGACTTAAAACAGCTGGAGGAGCAGGACCTGCATACAAACCTTTAACAGACACAAAGTCGAGGTCGTGTTTGTTCCACCTCAGTGCCAAAAATCCAAAAGTAATAAATGAAATAAAAATCAAATGTTTTCAAACTTTATCAGAAAGACGTGCAGCAGATCGTGAGTCATGTTTTCAAGGCCTCGAAGCTTCGAGAAGAAATAAGTTCGGGAGCTTTAGGAAAGCCGAGGTTTTCCATCACATGGCTCCAAAGTCACCCACAGTTGATTTCATCAGTGTGGAGCTGATGATGTCCTGCAGCAGCTCCACAGTATGAACCCCAACCAGCCAAAGATCCACTCTAAAAGCACCTGAAGCATGTTGGTGAGGTTAGCAAACAGAAACTCCAGACCAAATGGAGCAATCAGCTCACGCATGGATGAAAAAGTAAATATAAACCGAACTCTGGCACAACCAGCAATAATCCTATTTATGAAAATAAACACTGGGGATGTTTGGGAGGATTCTGTGGCTGCTGATCAAAGAGACGCAAACAGAAAAACATCGCAAGGAGAGGAGGAAACACGAGAGAACAGCGATTAATACGAGTCTGGATCAGCAGGCGCTAACCTCCCCGCCGCTCAGCACGGCGGCGCTCGGCATACAGAGCAGCAGTCGGTCTTACAGCGGCTGATCTTTAGCTCGTAATTACAGTGAAAATGACCCAAGATGTTGTTGGTCTGCAGCACAGTGTGTGTTCATAGCAACATATGTTTAACAAACACTGGACTCTATTGGATTTGTTAAAGAAACGGTCCCTGTGTGCGCTCCAGGTTTTTTTTACTGCCGAATTCTTGTTTTGTGAGGGCATCGCTTTGCAGCAAAGTCTGTGACGGCAGCGTCCAAACATCGACAACACCAAACGTGTACCCGATGCCAAAAATGACACGCCGGAGGAACGGGCCACGAGGAGACGGAGGTGCCGCTCTCTGTTTCCCAGGACGTCACTTTTCAATCTTTGCTCCACGATGACACTCTGGTTCATAAACCTTCCTTTTCACTCACATTTAAAACACAACCAGAGTGTCAACAGCAGCGCAGGATCCATCGACTGCATTACTGTGTGAATCTGCCTCGCACCGTGACCTCGAGCGATAACAGACCAATGAGAGGCCACAGACATGTCTCTGCTGACGATTAGCTCTGTGAGCATGTGGTTTCTATTCTGTAGGTTTTTGTCTTTGTTTGTTTTTTAAGTTGATTTCTTGAAAAGGTTTCTCATCATTTCACATAGAAGTATACAAACATTTATCTGCGTGCAGGTTTTCTGCAGTTTGGTAACGAAACACAGGAAGTGTGGTCTGTGAAGGTTCTCAGTCATCCAGCTCATCGTGGTCTAAGAAGCTTGGAAAGAAAAGCATCTGAACTATTCTCTACTTAATCACATTAGCCAGGTGTGGATCGGTCGTAGGTCACGATCAGCCACGCTTCAGGTCAGCTCATTGTGAAACCCAGCCCCACCCTATCATGTGATGTCCTGAGGTCAGGTGGCCCAGGATGTGAGTGGGCGTTTAAATCTAAATCTTTCTCTTCATGTGTGGAAAGCTGACCTGACAGCTGAGCAGTCTCTGACAGGGTTACAGGGACCCACAGTGGGAGGCGTTATCTACACCTGGAGGAAACGTTAACACTGTGAATGAATGAAATATGAAACATCTAATACAGAGCAAAGCGAAATGAAAATGAAAGTTTTTTGACTTTATTTAACATTACTGGGCAGCTACCTGCTGTTTCCTACACCCTCTTCATGCTCTCTCAGACGTACATCAGACCTGTTGAAATTTTCACCACCATCTGCTATTATGTGTTCTAATAGCTTTATGTTAATCTAATAAAAAAAGTAAAGTAGACTAAAGCTGTATTCTACTAATAGAATATGTGTTTTTCTTTGAGTGTGTGATTGGATTAATTTCAGAGATGATCACATTACAAACTGGCAGAGAGCTGTGTGTGTGTACTTGTATTACCTGAAACATGGGGACCCATAGATTGTGAGGATATGGGGGTCTGATTTGTGTTAGGGGGAATAAAGTAAGACTGTAATTTACTCCAAAATCATTACCCAAAACTGGATAAAAAGTTAATGTCCTGTTTTTAGTTTGGCTTCAGAAAAGTGAATGTTTTGTCTTCTGAAGTGATGGAAACAGGAGAGGACTGTTTGTGCGTCTCTGTCTTCAGCTCTGTGCCCAGTGTGATCTCAGCCCCCACCTCCGCCCAGTCCACCCTCTGCACCGCAACAACACACACACACACACACACACAGGGGATAATCAGTCACAACAAGGCTGTGTTACACTCTATTTAGAGAGGATTAGACGTCCACCCCCCTTCACTCTACCCCCAAAACTGAGGCAGTGCAACAAAGGGTAACTATCTGGTTCTAACTCATTCAAGACGCTTCATTCATCCTCCAACAAACCACATTTATGACTGAAGTGATGCTGATGGCCGCCTTATGTTTTGGATATCTAAGAATGCATTTGACCTAGTCAATACTATGATGCAGGATATCTGCATACCGTCAATTAATTCTTCGATCTTAAATATGATCAACCTATCTCTAATGATCGGCTATGTCCCACAGGCCTTCAAGCTGGCTGTAGTTAAACCTTTACTCAAAAAGCATCTCTAGACCCAGCAGTCTTAGCTAATTATAGGCCAATCTCCAACCTTCCTTTATATCAAACATCCTTGAAAGAGTAGTTGTCAAACAGCTAACAGATCATCTGCAGAGGTTTATTTGAAGAGTTTCAGTCAGGTTTCAGAGCTCAGCACAGAAACAGCTTTAGTGAAGGTTACAAATGATCTTCTTATGGCCTCTGACAGTGGACTCATCTCTGTGCTTGTCCTGCTAGACCTCAGTGCAGCGTTCGATACTGTCGACCATAATATCCTATTAGAGCGATTAGAACATGCTGTAGGTATTACAGGTACTGCGCTGCAGTGGTTTGTATCATATCTATCTAATAGACTCCAGTTTGTGCATGTAAATGGAGAGTCCTCTTCACACACTGAGGTTAATTATGGAGTTCCACAGGGTTCAGTGCTAGGACCAATTCTGTTTACATTATACATGCTTCCCTTAGGCAGCATCATTAGAAGACATAGCATACATTTACACTGCTATGCAGATGACACCCAGCTCTATCTGTCCATGAAGCCAGATAACACACACTCGGGTTTCCAAAAAATAAGTCAGGATTTCTTTTAGGATCTCTGAACTGATGTCACAGATATTGTAGCTTGGTTCAAAATGGTTTAAAGTGAATTTAGCTTGTTGCCGTGGTGATCAGGAACCTGTTCTTGACCTCTTCCTGTCCATCAGGTGCAGGATGCTCCATCAAACCAGAGACCAAGGAGTGCCCCAGTGAGTGCAGTGATCAGGGTCGCTGCGAGGATGGCAAGTGTGTCTGCTTTCCTGGATTTAGCGGGCCGGACTGCAGCCAGTCCAATTGTCCCGGGGACTGCAGCAACAACGGGAAGTGCGTGAATGTTCAATGCGTGTGCGATCCTGGTTTCACCGGTCCTGACTGCTCCCTGAAAGCCTGCCTTGATAACTGCAACAATCACGGCAGGTGCGAGAAAGGCAAATGTGTGTGCAACAGTGGTTTCACAGGTCCCAGCTGCTCCGATGAATCCTGTCCCGGAAACTGCAAAAAAAGAGGGGTCTGTGTTAACGGACAGTGCGTGTGCAATCCTGGTTTCACCGGTCCTGACTGCTCCCTGAGATCCTGCCCCGATAACTGCAACAATCAAGGCAGGTGTGTGAACGGCAAGTGTGTGTGCAACAGTGGCTTCACAGGTCCCAGCTGCCTCAACAAATCCTGCCCCAGCAACTGCAACAGGAGGGGGCGCTGCATTAACGGGCAGTGTGTGTGTAATCCTGGATTCGCTGGGCCAGACTGTTTAAAGAGGACATGCCCAGACAACTGCAATGACCGTGGGAGGTGTGTTAACGGTAAATGTGTCTGCAACAGTGGCTTCACCGGTGCAGATTGCTCTGAGGCAGTCTGTCCTGAAAACTGCAACAACAGGGGGCGCTGTGTGAATGGACAGTGTGTTTGTGATGATGGATTCACTGGCGAGGATTGCTCTGAAAGAACATGCCCAAATGACTGCAACGACCGTGGCAGGTGTGTTAATGGTAAATGCATATGTGACAGTGGATTCACAGGTGACGACTGCTCTGAAAACACCTGCCCCAACAGCTGCAACAACAGGGGGCGCTGTGTTAACGGACAATGTGTCTGTGATGATGGATTCACTGGTGAAGACAGCTGTGATAAAAGCTGCCCCAACAACTGCAACAACAGGGGGCGCTGTGTTAACGGACAATGTGTCTGTGATGATGGATTCACTGGCGAGGATTGCTCTGAAAGAACCTGTCTAAACAGCTGCAACAACAGGGGGCGCTGTGTTAACGGACAGTGTGTCTGTGATGATGGATTCACTGGTGCAGACTGCAGTGCTAAAGGCTGCCCCAACAACTGCAACAACAGGGGGCGCTGCTTCAGAGGGAGCTGCGCGTGTCGTCGGGGGTTCACAGGACCAGACTGCAGCCAGTGTCAGGAGGGGATGACTGGGCCCAACTGTGATGTCGGTGAGTCAAATCTTCTATTTATCTTCTCCATATCTATCTATCGAGATATCGAGATATCGAGATATGTGTGCACGAACAGCACAAAGGAGCAAAGTTGCTCCCAGTGTAAATGCTATAATTCACTGTTTTAAGAAAGACAGCTTGTTTATTTCCCCACCAAGCCTCTTTAAATTTGACTTGGTAGGCTTGGCTTTAACCACAAATATTCAAGAGCTGGTTACATTTATGGTGGGGGCATGGACGGAACCAGAAGCTGAACAGTAAGGTGGAAAATGAAGCCAAAGCACCAAAACTGCACTTCCTGTAATGTCAATCCTGACCGATTACTTTGCCCAACAATACAGCAGGAAAAATGTCAACAGTCTGGTAGACAAACATCTTGATGCATGCTCAAACAAACAGGTAAGTAAACCCCCAAGGTTTGATTCTGTTCATCTGGATGTAGAGCTTTCAGTGGGAGAAACGTTTCGTCAGTCATCCAGGTGACTTCTTCAGTCACCTGGATGACTGACGAAACGTTTCTCCCACATCTACGTCCAGATGAACAGAATCAAACCTTGGGGATCTGGTAAACAAACATAGTTTTTGTTCCTGTAGATAATAATCTCTTAACATCAACTACACCCAGGGTGAATTTCTTAAAAGTTGGAGTGCATAGTGGTGTGGGTTAAAGTTAGGGACATGGTTACATTGGTGTATGTCTTTCCTTTATTTTGTGTAAAATGCATGTTTGTGTCTCATTCTTATCTGAAGAACATTTGTTCACCATGACAGGATCACATTTAATTGCAGTGGGAATATCTGTTTGCAACAAATGTGCACAAACCACACATTTCTTCTAAAACTGTCATTCTGGGGTTGTTTAATTTGATACAGTTTTGCAGCATCAGCCGAGCTGCGTACTTCTTTCAGCCATGTTTTCTTGTTGTTGTTGTTGTTGTTGTTGCCATTGTTGTTACCAGGGTGTGGTAGGCTATTAGCACGCCTGTTTGGAGGCTGTTCACGCTGCAGTGATCCGAGTGACGGAGCAGTTTCATTACCAGAGCGGTAGAGTCCAGACCACATAAAAACTCCCTCAGACAGCTGCACAGGACAGCCGCATGTGTGTGAGAGTTTTAAGTGTTTTCCCAAATGCAACTGACCACTTACTGGAGTGGAGGGAGGGATGTCCCACAGCCTGACAGCCCACTGAGTAAACTCAGAGTGGGCAGCAGAAAGTGTGAAGTATGTTTCCATCCACCTGCTGCAGAGACCCCAGTGATGACATAATCAGGAGAAACTGTTGGCATATTTAAATGATGCACGAACGTTTGATTGGAAACAGGTTTTTTGTGAACACTGATTTTCCTTCCTAAACATAGCTACAGATGCAAATACATAACACCGAGCCAACATCCAAATATTATGATTCCCTTTAGCCAACGTTGCCTTTTCACATTATTTTAGACAGTTGTCATTTATTTCTTTAAAACATGCAAGTTTTTGCTGTTATTATATTATTTGGGGGGAAGACTGCTCTAGTCACTCCTATACTGAAAAAACCTTCTTTAGATCCTAACACCTTTAACAACCT